TTAACCTGTACCTATAAAGGTTAGTCTCATTGAGCCTCAATGCAAGAGAAATCTGATTTTAAGAAAGAATGATGACAACGGTAGACAATCATAAAGAAAGAATATAAATGTACCCCGCTGTTTATATGCAGGAGTGTCTTGTTTGTTATTTTTTTCATCATTTTCAAAATTTATATTTTCATATTTTATTGTGAAAGACTTCCTGCCATCTCTGTAGTTTTCTGCCAGTGACTAACATTTTTTTTTTGACAGATCTGGGAGCTCATGGTTCCCAGCACATTAGTGACACAGAGAGAATGCCCTCAGGTAAAGAGATGTACAACGACTCTTGTTCACGGTTTCAAATTCCTACCATAACTCCACCCACTCTGTCATCATGTGACCAGAAGTCTAACCTGAACTACCAATGAGATACTCTCGAGGACCAACCCCAAGATAAATGCACATTGATTTCTTCAGATAATTCCCATGTTGTTACCGGATTTTGCACTTCATGCACAGACCTGGTCATTTGTTCAGCGATAATGGAAAATGTACGGAGAATTTCTTATGACGCAGCCTCCATGTTAAAAGCGATCGGCTGAAGAGGAGGAAACAGAGCTGCATGTCAGCTGCATCAACGTGTCTATGGTCAGGATTTGAGAAGCAAAATTAGTCAAGTCTGGTACATGTTTTAATAAAAGTTTTAAAATTCTTTGTGCGTGACATCTTTCTGTGTCGGTGAATACATTTAAATACTGCAATCTCATTTTAAAGTCACATCGGAACACGAAGCGGAGAAACAGAAAGGAGTCTTTCCCCCTCTCCTTCCATCATGAGAGGACAGCGGTGGAGAAGTCCTCAAAGTTATCTTTAAAGCAGTCAGTCAAGACATATTTAAATAACAGTTTTAAAAAATCTTTCTGTGGACGGTAGATAAGCATTTAAATACCAGTATCTCATTTAAGCTTAAACGGGCATTAAACAGAACTGAGGAGACGTCGGGGAGGGACGGGCTTGTCCTCCGTCCTGCAGGAAGCGAGGGGAGCACGGCTGAGGGGCTGTGTGTTTGTATTCAAGGAGGGAGAAAGAAAACAGCAGGAAGAGTTTCAAGTATAACATTATATCGTTTTATATCGATATAGTCTCAACTTACATCTAAAAAAAATCATATTGATATTTTTAAAAATATCGAAATATTGCCCAGCTCTAGTGATTACCTTTGAGACTATTTTATTTCCATACCCATTCTGCACCATGCCAGCTTGTATAGGGTGCACCGATTGCAGTTTTCTGGCCGATCACCAATTTCTATTAAGTCTGACCTGCCGAGTCCAATTTTGACCAATACCAATTTTGTTTTATAAGCAACACGGTCAGGTGTTAAAAGGTCACAATGCACCTTCAATTTTCTAATATTATTTTACTGAAAAACATACCCTTGAACAATATCCTAGAAACATCCATCCATCCATCCATTATCTTTACCCGCTTATTCCATTTTGGGTCACGGGGGTCGCTGGTGCCCATGTCCAGCAATCACTGTGCGAGGGGCGGGGTACACCCTGGACGGGTCGCAAGTCCATCACAGGGACACATAGAGACAAACGAGACAAACAACCATTCACTCTCTCACTCACACCTAGGGACAAATTAGAGTTACCAATCAGCCTAACATGCATGTTTTTGGTCTGATCCTATAAACAATACAAACTTATTTTAAATGGCCATGAGGTAGTGCTCTGAAATCTAAATGAAGTTCAGACAACTGTTGTTAAATCTAAAAAAATCTGTAAAATCGGTTTCTCCTGCAAGTATCGGCCGATTTCCGATTTCCCATAATTAAGGAAATCTAATCTTGTAGTGTGTTCCAGCCACGCTGATCATTAAAGTGAATGAGTCATGGGTTGAAGCAGCTCACCTCACCACAGTGTTGCTCTGTTGCTTTCACACATCTAGCTGACTAACAACTAGCTTAGCTCGGCTCTGATTCAACTGGTGCAGTTCTCACTGAAATGGAGGAGCTGCAGTGGTCAGCAGCGTAACTGAGCAGTGTTTGTGTCTCATCCTGTAGCTTCAGTGAAGATGGGATGGAAGTGATGGAAAGGTTGATATATCTGTTTCGCAAGTTCCATCAGCTAAAGATCAGTAATGAGGAGTATGCCTGCATGAAAGCCATCAACTTCCTCAACCAAGGTAACAGCAAACACTTACCATTGAGTCAGGCTTTTCATCACTCTTCTCCATCACAGGACTATAACGTACCTGTCCTCATGCAGATATCAGAGGATTGTCCAACATCTCCCAGCTTGAGCAGCTGAACAAGCGCTACTGGTATGTGTGTCAGGACTTCACTGAGTACAAGTACCCTCACCAGCCCAAACGCTTTCCTGAGATCATGATGTGTCTGCCTGAGATCCGCTGCATTGCAGGTAAGACCTCCAGGCGCTGGTAAAGCCTAACATGATGTTGGCTGCTTTAAGGTACTGGTAATTTCAAATGTGCATTTTTATAAAAAAAAAAAACGTTTGTGGATTTAATCATTATTGACACAGAATGTCATTAGAGTCCAAAAACAACATTAATTGACTAAGGGTGCAACAAAATTCCCATGTCTGTTTGTGAGGAGTCGAGTAAAGCTGGAAAGAGAAACAAATGCCAAACACTAGCTGAGTTTTTGGGCTGTTTCCCAAAGACAATAAAACTCCCAGAGCAAGATGATAACTCAAGTTTATTATTGAGGATGTTTTAAGGAAGTAGGCCATACAACAAAGATTTGTCTACCAGTGACTGCACAATAAAGTAATTTAAAAAAATCAGTGTAATATTATTCATCCAATTAAAGGTAAACTGTGTCCTGCATGGCCATGAGGTAGTGCTCTGAAATATAAATGAAGTTCAGACAATTATAGTAAAGGTGTGTCTCAGTTGAACTTTTACTTAATAAAAGGACTTTAACGTTCAAATCAGCTGAATTTCAAAAACAACCGCTGCCTCGGTGCTCCGGGAGCACGCAGACAGAGGAAATCAAGGAGGAACGCTGTGCATTTCTTTGAAATTTAACAAGATAAGCACCTAAAACAATTATTGGTTTGCTCAACTTTATAGTAAAGGTGTGTCTCAGCTGAACTTTATAACTTAATAAATGCACTTCAATGGTCAAATTAGCTGCATTTAACAGGGGCGGCGCAGCGAAATGAAGCTGATTTGATGGCAAGCCGATTGTGTCATTGATAGCCACTTTTACCTATTACATGACACAACAGCATGCCATACAGCTCGAGTGCCATCTAACAGCCGAAAATGCTAGTTTTCAATATTTTCAGTCAGAATGAATGAAAACGGTCATATCTCAGCCAAAAATTAGTTTATAAATATGGGAAAAAAACATAAATAAGTTGCTTCGGTGTATAAGTCACAGGGCATGTAAATTATACAAAAAAACATTACTTATAGGGTGAAAAATACAGTACAGGTGGAAAGAAAATCTGTTTTGTTACATTTTTATTGTAAAATTTTGCAACAGTATATGTAATGCTGTATATTTGATCTGATACACTCAGAGTTTCATCCATCCATCCATTTTCTTTGCCCGCTTATTCCATTTTGGGTCACGGGGGTCGCTGGTGCCCATGTCCAGCAATCACTGTGCGAGGGGCGGGGTACACCCTGGACGGGTCGCAAGTCCATCACAGGGCCACATAGAGACAAACGAGACAAACAAACATTCACTCTCTCACTCACACCTAGGGACAATTTAGAGTTACCAATCAGCCTAACATGCATGTTTTTGGACTGTGGGAGGAAACCGGAGTACCCGGAGAAAACCCACGCATGCACGGAGAGAACATGCAAACTCCACCCAGAAAGGCCCCTGGACCGGGGTTTGAACCAGGGACCTGCTCGCTGAGAGGCAGCAGCTCTACCAGTTGCGCCACCGTGCTGCCCACACTCAGAGTTTATCAGATCCTATTTATTTTACAATAAAGCAGAATGTATCTGTCTTTGCTCAGTCCTTGTTGCACTTACCATAAGATGAAAATGTAAGTTTTAACAATTTAAAAAAATATTTCTATATATATAAATTATTTAAAAGACAAGCATGTTATATAAAATAATCAATATTTTGTCCAGACAAAACACTCCTACATGTAAGATTGTTGTCACATTTTTAATTAAACTGAGCAAATCTAAAAAAGTTCAATCTGGTCCTCTGGACATTCAAAAAACAAAACAAAGCAAAAAAAATGTAGATATGTTTCATCTTTCATCCAGAGACTTCCTCAGTCTGAGGTGCTGTATTCAGCTCAGTCTTATAAAACCAGCAACTCCTTCTTGATCATGTGATCAGCTGGTTCTGGTTGTCAGCAGCAAACTGGTTGATCCACTCTGAGAAGGTGCTATTTATAAGACTGAGCTCAATACAGCACCTCAGACTGAGGAAGTCTTTCGGATGAAAGACGAAACGTTTCTACATTTTTTGTTGTTTTGTTTTTTGAATGTTCAGAGGACCAGATTTAACTTTTTTGGACTCTCTTGTGAAAGTGTGCCCCTGTGAAAAGAAAATTCATAACATTTATATTAAAGTTCATAAGTTTGATATTTATATACTGGTTGAAAATAGCTCTGTGTGAAATTCACAGTAAAGTTAGTATAAAGTAAAAAGTTCATAAAATTCAAATTCAGATAGAAGTTCAACCGGAATCGTTCAAATTCAATCGATGCCCAACCCTAATTATGTATACCGTATGTATTGTTTGGTACATCGATACATATATACCTTATGTACTGTATGTACTTTATGTACTTTATGTACTTTACATATGTACCGTATGTATTGTATGTACTGTATGTACCATATGTATTGTATGTATCATGTACTGTATGTACCATATGTATAGTATGTACTTTATGTCTGTATATAGGTACTGTATGTCACTGACTCTAAGTCTATCCCGTCCAAAATGGAAATCGGAAAAAACACTTTCTCTAGTTGTTATATATCGTCCATCAGCCGGACCATTACCATCTCACTGCCGCACGTTTCACAGATGTTTATAACTCTGAAATGATAATTCAGCCCCCGGTGTTTCTCAGTACTACTGAGGAGCTGACATCCCAGTTCAACTCTGTCTGCTTAAAGACTCTGGATCACATTGCGCCTGTTAAAACCAAAAACTCCAAACTCAGAGCAGAACCTTGGTTGAGTGACGTCACCAAGGCCGTTAGGCAGCAATGTAGGAGGGCGGAGCGAAAGTGGAGGAAAGACAGGCTGCAGGTCTCTTTCCAAACACTTAAAGAGAGTTGGCGCCATTATTAGAAAGCAGTAAAAGCTGCTAAATCCAAATACTTTTCTGATATAATTACCTCAAACTCTCACAACCCACGTGTCCTCTTCTCCACCCTAAACTCTGTTCTCCTCCTCACTGAACCATCACCTCTGGAAGCCTCGACTGAGCTGTGCGAGAACTTCTTACATGTTTTTTTGGAAAAAATTGTGACCACCCAGGCTCTCATTTCCCCTCCAACTCATGACCCATCCATCCCACCTCAATCTGTAGCTCTATTTGACCATTTTGAATTCATCACTCTATCTTCTCTAGAGCAGGTCATGTGCAGCTTGAAACCTTCTGGTTCCCCCTTTGATTTGGTCCCCCCTCGACTACTAAAAGAGGTTTTTCCTACTCTAGGTCCGTCCATTCTTGCCATAGTAAACAGTAGTTTATCCACTGGCGTGGTGCCAAAACCTTTAAACATACTGCTGTCCAGCCTCTCCTGAAAAAACCAAACCTTGACCCCTCAGTCGTGTCCAACTTCCAGCCTGTCTCCAAACTCCCATTTGTTTCTAAACTACTGGAGAAAATAATCGAGTCCCAGTTGAAGTGCTTCCTGGAGGGTCGCGCCATCTTAGAGCTATTCCAATCTGGCTTTAAACCTCTCCACAGCACTGAAACTGCCCTGCTGAAGGTCTTTAATGACATTTTCTTAACCACTGATACCGGTGATTCTGTGCTGCTTGTCCTGTTGGACCTCACAGCCGCCTTTGACACCATCGACCATGAGATTGTCATTGTTAGGTTGGAGCAGTGTGTGGGCATCACAGGATCTGCCCTCAATTGGTTCAGATCTTACCTCACTGACAGATCCTTTTGTGTCTCCATCAAGGATTTTAGTTTTGTAGCAGCAAAGCTTAAATGGGGGGTTCCGCAGGGGTCCATCCTGGGTCCCCTCCTATTCTCTTTATACCTGCTGCCGCTTGGTGCTATTTTTCCGGAAACACAACATGCCCTTCCACTTCTACGCCGATGACTGTCAAATTTACTTCCCCCTAAGACACATTGGCACATGCTCTATTCAAACTCTGCTCGACTGCCTGGCTGACATCAGGGACTGGACGGCTTTAAACATCTTAAGTTTCAATGAAAAGAAGTCTGAAGTCATGTTGTTCCCTCCCAATGACACGATCACAAACCACTGCATCGACCATTCCACTCTAACCCTGTCAGAAAAACAGAGAGTCACCAATCTGGGAGTGATAATGATGAGACCCTTCCCTGAAACTTAACAATCATGTAAACATGATTGTTAAATCATGTTTCTTCCAACTGAGGCGGCTGTCTAAACTGAAGCCCATATTGTCCAAAAATAACCTGGATACAGTAATACCTGCATTCATTACATCTAGACTTGATTACTGCAATTCACTCCTGTTTGGTATCAGTCAAACCTCCATAGCACGACTACAACTTGTCCAGAATACAGCAGCCCAATTTTTAACCAGTACAGGCAAAAGAGAGCACATTACACCAGTTTTGGCCTCGCTGTACTGGTTACCATACCATACCACTTTATTTATAAAGCACTTAAAACAGCGACAAGGCCAACCAAAGTGTTGTACAGACAAACAACAGGTAACACACCAAGCAAAATACAAAATGAGGAAAATCAGAATATAGACATAAAAACGATGCAGATAATGACAACAAACCAGTGTGGAGCATACAGGATCAAAACACAGATCATCTTGTGTTGAAAGCTACTGAATAGTAGTAAGTTTTTAAACGAGACTTGAAAACGGAGAGGGAGGGGGCCTGTCTGACAAACAAAGGTAACTCGTTCCAGAGTTTTGGTCCTGCTACGGAGAAGGACCTGTCACCTCTGCACTTAAGACAAGTTCCTGGAACTGTGAGGAGCAACTGGTCCGCTGACCTCAGGGAACGTGGTGGGACATACGGTTGTAACAGATCAGAGAGATACGGGGGGCGACACTGTTCAGTGATTTGTAGACATACATGAGTATTTTGAACTAGATTCGAAAGTGAACCGGTAACCAGTGCAGTGAGGCCAAAACTGGTGTAATGTGCTCTCTTTTGCCAGTACTAGTTAAAAATCGGGCTGCTGCATTCTGGACCAGTTGTAGTGGTGCAATGGA